CCAAGTGGAGTGTATCCTAGGAGTGCGCATGTGCGAGTTTGTTGATTTCAGTTATTTTTATCTTTGCACATGTTTAGGGTGATCTAACTGTTTTAAGATTAAGCATTCATTCTAGTCATGCAAACCCTATTATCAAACATCTAGCAGTTGAATATTTGCAGAAATTAAAGGTGCGGAATTTAAACTAAACTATTACAAGGCGTCGGGTATTTACATCGCCAAAGACAAACCCTTTGAAATTAAAAATACGGTAAAAATAAATAAATGTCCTAATTAACTATTACAAATCGGGAGCAGATACAATAATTTGAATAGAAAATAAAGCGCGTGAGAAACTTGAATCGAACGTGAAACCAGGGTTTTGACCCTCTTAATTAAAAGAAAATGTTTTTTTTTGTTGTTTTTAGTATTTTTTTAAGAAAAGAAGTTAAATCCTAAAATTAAATGCTAAATTAATTGGTTATTAAATTAATTAATGAAAAATAATTAAAAGACATATTTTTTTGGATTTTTTGATTATATTAGGAAAGAAATAAAATAATTAAATTAGTGTTAAAACCTATTGATTCTAATTAATTTTAAATATTTACAAAATAAATAAAAGTTATCTAAAATTAATAACCTAATTAATTTAATTAATATTTATTAATGAAAAATAAAATTCTGAAATTTAATTGGACATAAAATATTTTTGTGATTTTTTTGATAAAAATAAAATAATTTTTGGTTAGTAATTAAATTAAATTAAATTAAATAATTAAATGAAATATAGAAAAGAAAATATAAAGAAAGAGATTTGGCCTGATTTTTAAAGGTGTGCATAGCAATTTTCTGGGCCCAATTGAGGAGATCCAGTTGACTTTTGCAATCCAATGTGCACGCATTGACTTGGCTTGTGGTGCACCCTCAATGATGGCCACCAGATCTGGCCATCTGGCCATCTGACACGTTAATGAGGAAGGAGCATGGTGGACGTTTGGCTTGCACGTACATGTGATAACCTGAAATAAAATGATATAGAGAAATAGGGGGATCTGGGATTCGAACCCAGGCCCCAAGGGGAATTTCCTGCCACGCCTACTACTGAAGCACTTGTTTCTATTTTTTATCATAATACAAACTAATAATAATATAGGAAAATGAATATTAGTGGAAGACAAAAGCAAAATGCGCGCTAACGTTCAAATAGGCCAATGGAATTTGGCCATGTCTACATCCCTGTACTTGGACCGTGGCTAAAAAATCAAAGGCGTATACCCACAGACAGTGTCCGTCGCTACAATTCATGCTCATTCCAAAATCTCCTACATGCCACATAAATGGAATCCAGTACCATGGTTGAGTTCATCTCACTCTCCTGATCACAACCATGCCCATCATGAAGGCTAATTGTTCCTGAAATAAAAAACCCTAAACCAAAGCTTGAAAACCTAACAATGTTGAGTTTCGATTCAGTCCATATAAATGAAATTGGCTATTGTAAAAAGCTTGCAAACAACATGGTGATCAAGAATATGCAATTATTTTACACTATGGATGCAAGAATAATGTTAATTGAATTCAAGAAAAGGGTGATACCGTGACGGCCTTACAGCATGCTAGAGGGCTTGAAAACGATTGGTCTTGATTGCTTTAGGTTGTGGAGACTGCCAGGAGACGATTGGGAGAGGTCTCGAGCCTTGAGGATGCCTCTAAGTGGGATTTTGATCTCACACTTTTTGCTTCTTTTTGCCAATTTTGTTCTTGCGTTATGCTTGATTTTTTAACCCTCTTTTAGGTCTGGTCGTCCTCCTTATGTAACAAAGAATGAATCCAAGTCCATAATTGATCCAAATCTCCCTCCTTTAATCCCTTTTGATTTGATTTGATTTGATTCTTTAAAGCTTTCCAAAATTGGTCCAAATCCAATCTCTTTGTACACATATGGCTTGATGAGAATTTGATGATGGCTAGCTGTGATTTAAGACCTGAAATCATCACAAAATCTCTTATTATCAATGTTTTGGATTTTTATTTGATTTATTTTGATTTAAATAAAATTAATTCAAATAAAAATAAAAATAATTAATAAAAATATGATATGGACAAGTGGCAAAGGCTAGAGCACGTGGGATATGATTCCAACTCAAAACAAGTGAAAAATATTGGGCCCATTTGGCAAAATTTGATATTTTGGGGATAGTTGACTTTTGGCAATTTTGCAAAAAAGGTCAACTTCAACAATGCATAACTTCCTCAATTTTGACTCTTTGGAGGTGTTATTTGACTTTTTAGAAAACTTGAGATGTATTATAATCAAACCTTTTGGTCTCATCTCATTTTGATATTCCATGCTCAAGTATGAAGCTTTGACAAAAAAGGTATTTTTGTTGACTTTTCAAAATGACCTATAATGTCCAAATTCATAACTTCTTGTGAGTGCATATTTTGGACTTTGGAGATGAGTATGGATTTTAGGGAATTGCATCTTCTTCAAAATGAGCTTTGGATGGGTCATTTCTCATAAATTATGAGAAAGTTATGCATGGTCAAAGTTGTGTTGAGTTTTCCTACAAAACCCTAATTTAGCAACTTTTGAATCTTGATGAATTGTGAGCAATCCTTGATGAATCATGATCAACACTTGATCAAATGATGAAATATACTTCAAAATGAGAATGTTGACAAAAAAATTTGAAGTTTGACTGTATGTAGGTCACAGTTGACTTTTGCCCTAGCACAATCGATTTTTGGACCTTTGAGCAATTGACTGAGCAAACTTCCTTTGCAAGGCTTGAAACTTGACACGGATGATCTTGAGAACATATTAGGACATTAATGAACACTTGGGATCATTTGGAATCAGGTATCTTGATGCAACATGAAACCCTAGTTTGGGGTAGACTGCCTTAGGAGAGAGCTTGTTTGGCCAACCCTTGGACTACCTTGAGCAACTTGGAGATCTTTCTTGCAATGTTTTGAGAAATATGGGAGGGAAAATTTTGGGGTAAAACACATGCCAAATAAACATGCATTCAAGAGAGTAGTAGAAAAATAAGTACATACCAAAATATCCAAGTGTCAAGCACATACAAGTGCCAGAAAGAACATAGGGATCAAAATACAAAAGAGAAAAAAAAAAGGCACCAGCAGAGTCTAATTGTCTTCAGGACCAGTAGACTTGACAGCTTCGAAACTTCCTTCTGAAACAGCCGGCTGAAAATCATCAAATAATAAAGTCGCCATCGAACGTCTTTTATCCCACATGAAGGGAAAGGTAGACATCAAGAAAACCTGAGAAGGGAGAAGTCACGGTCTTTCAACCGAGAGATCGGGTAAGGGAGTCTGTTATGCAAGGGGAAGGTATTAGCACCCCACACGCCCGTAGTAATTTATGATATCCACTCTTGTTATCTATCTTATGGGTGTGTTTAATCTATGCTTACTGTTTATTACTGTTGAAGGGAGAATGCATGCAAAAGAAATGAGAAAAGAATGTAGGGAAAATAAAATTGTACTCACTTGGTCTCTACCCCAATGCCTACATATCCTTTTTGAGGAATCAGAGTTACTGTAGTTCGACTCACATGTTTTTGTTTGTTTATGTTTTTTTGGACAATGTTAATTCCGCCTTCTGCCGCAGCTCGACCTTTGGAGACTTATAAGTTGGCACAAAAGTAAATTAATCATGTCCTTACCTGAAAATGGTTTTAGAGAAAAGGCGCTTGAGCGCACAAAAAGGTTTGAGTTAGTTTGTACTTTGTAACCTTGAAAAAGGGTTTAAGTGATATTAGCATGTTTTACGGTTTGCTAAGAAAAGGTTTTAGTTTTAGATGCAAAGATGCCAAAAGGGAAGAAAAGAGTCTAAATGATACTAGCCTATTTCTAACCTAATGTTATCATACAAAGGTATCCCTACGTCAAGGATGAAAGGGAAAATTTCTACCTAATGTTAGCATGCATGGTTTGCAACCTAAGATCTAACTTACGTCCGAAGGGAGCAAGCACATCCTAAGGGAACATGGTATGTACAAGGATAAAGCAAACAAGTTATAAGATCAAGAGAGCACACCTAGAGAGATCATATCTAAGTTATCATGCCAAAGAAAGTCTAACAAAACTATCCTATAGGGAACATGCAATGAGAGCGAAGTCGTGATCTCAATTTCTATATTGAGTGACTCATCAATCAACAAGAAATAAAGGAAAGTTATAAAATCCTATAGGAAGCATGCACTGAGAGCGAAGTTGTGATCTCAATTCCTAAATTGAGTGACTCATTGATCAACAACCAAAGAAACAAACACAAACACAACACATATAGCAAATGAAGTGCGGAGTGCCTGCTACAGGTCTTTAAACAGCGACTTCGAGTGCACGCTCTTTATTTCCTACTTCTCATGGTATCTAGAAAAGCAGTAAAGAAGTATGATAAAATGTGGAAATGAGGAATAAAATAAATTTGCAATGATACCGAACAGAGAAAGTCCGTTGCCTCTTCAAAACCACGCAAGCAATAAGAAAACTCTACCAAAGCTTCCATGAATTTCTTTGATGAAGATTGTGCTCTTAGTTAGCTTCAAAACTTCTCAAACCCAAGTATCTTTTTACTTCAAAATATCACGCAAAATTGGAATTAAAATCTAACAAAAACATGGCTAAAATAACAACAAACAAAATTAATAAAAGAATTAAAATTCTTATTCTAATATTTTTGAATTTTTATCATGTTTATTGTGCAAATAAATAACATGTCAAAATTAATAGAAAAGAAAAAGCTATGTAGCATTAGAAGAAAACTAACAAGAATGTAAAAAGGTGGGGGTGTTAGATCAGAAAAGAGAGTGCGAGAGTTACTGGCGTGTAGGCCTGGTTCCTCAAGCCCAACAAAAATGGTCCACCAAGTTATTGTGTTTGAAATGCTATCAAGTTGCAGAAAAAAATAACATATGGGCCCATGAAATTGGAGTATGTAGCTTGATCCAAGATATCCTCATGTTCAATCCAACATCAACATTAGTTCCAATAAAAAATGGTGCCTTTTTGACTTTGTAGGGTTTGTATGTCATAGCTCTTTAACTTTTCCCAAACATAACTCCCTTTGCAAAACACGACAGAAATCCCCTTCTCTCTTTCTCCTAGTAGAACACCGCCTCCATGGTTGTATCTCTGGAGATTTCCTCCGCATTTCGTCATTCTTTGTCTTTGTCGTTCAAACTCTCCATCTCTCTCTGACGCAGTCTCACTTCAATCGCCATTTTCCACCATGTTCGCGTCGCACCTTCGCGCTCTCCACATCTCACCTCCATTCAGATCCTCCGTCTGTCGTCTTCGATTGCTTAGATTTCGTCTCATTTCCAACAGCATTAAACGCTCACCAACTTCTCCTCAATCATTCGCAGATTCAAACAAATAGTAACAAACTTGTATGAACCATACAGTAAAGAAGAGCGATGAAGAAGGAAGAGTTGATTACCTACCGGAGACCAATCTGGCGCGTCTAGTAGTGACAGAAAATCAACAAGTTAGGTATGTGTTCGATATTCAAATACTTCTCCGATTTTCGCTCTTTCTGACTTCTTATTCAATTTTGGTGTCTCTTTGAATTATTCGATGTTGGTGAAGGTGAGTTGAATATTAAAGTTTAAGAGCGATGGTGTTGATTGCAAATTGAAGACGATGAATCTGTTGCAGAGGCAAGAGTTGTTGATGATTGTGAGATGATGACTGAAGAACTGTGGAGATGTCGATTGAGAAACAGTGGTGGAGAAAGAAACGAAGAAGATTGCAGAGAGATAGAAAGAGATTTTCCTGAGATTTTTCTTTGATTCTTCCAAGACATTGAAGAATGATCTGAATTAGGTGAGAACTTCTATTTTATAGTTGGTTAGAATTGTCAGAAAGTTGGTTAGAATATGGTTCGAAGTTGGTTAGAGATTAGAATGAATATGAGATATGGATTATGATTTCTGTTATGAATCGATGGTTAGGATGGGGTCTGGTTTTGCTTGCAATTTATGTTATTCCCTTTTTATGGTTATGATATTTTCCCTTCTGTTATCCTTTGTTCTTTGACCGTTAGAAATTGGTTAGGAAGTGGTTTTGGGATATTAAATTATGTTAGGAAGTTATGAAAAGTTGTTAGCATTTGGTGGTTTTTGCAAGTTTTTTTGAGTTTGGTTAGAAACTATCAGGGGTTAGAAAATTAGCTAAGATGTATTTTTTTGTTTGGACAATTTGTTAGCTGTTTTCTTTTTACAGTTAGCAGTGATGGACTTTAGTTATAGGTTTGTTATTTTGTTATACGGTTAGAGAGTTGGTAAAAATTTGTTTTGGAAGTTAAAAACAGTTAGGAAACAGTTGAGATTAGTAATTCTGTTTAGTTATAGTTTGTTAACTGTTATGTGTTAGTTTAGGAATGCAGGGTAGTTAGGACACCGTTTAGTTATGGTTCTACTGGACAGTTAGCAGGGCTGTTTAGAAGTTGGAAGCTGTTAGAGAAGAACAATTAGGAGTTTAGGCTGTTAGTTTGTTAATTTTGGTTAGGAAATGTTAGGAAAAGCTAATTTTCAGGAGCAAAAGATCTCAAATGACATCTACTGTTGTGAGTTAAGGGCCAATAAAACTTGCTAGAAAATGAGTTGGATGTTGGAACTGTTTTATGATGAACTGCTTTTGTTTGGTGCAGCCTAGTCACAATCCACCTCTATCAAGAATCCAGCTTTATCGCCTGCTTCATCTTTAGATCGCATGACCATTTTTCATGTTATTGAACCTGGAAATATTGTCTTACTGTTTGTATTATGCAGGTTTTCACAGTATCCTGGTCTAGTGTGAATCAGGGCAGTTTCATATCGGTTTGAAGCAAGTTCAAGTTATTAAGAGCCAGAGTGTCACTCTTGGAAAATGGTGAAGATGAAATAACTTGGAGAATTGGAATGAGATGGGACTTTTGGAGAGAACATATTGAGTTGTAGAATTTCTTTGTAATTAGAATGATGTAGTAGTTTATGTGTTGGATAGGATTTATTTAATTATTTGTAAGTTAAATGAAACATTGCTTTGGCGCATGGATTTCAGATCACAATAGGTTTAGGAATTTGGTTTGTGGACTTTGTTTTTTTCCTTTTGTGTAATCTTCTTGTACCTTGGTAATGGATGAAATCATTTTCCTGTGTAATTTGTTAATGAATCATGATGAATCATTTTGTCTTAGTAACTTGAATTCATGATAAACCAAATGAATGAACCTAAACTTGATGATAATATCGACAAATGAATGAATCTCTGATAAAATTTTAAAAGAAGTCAATATGAGGCAATGAACTTGAACAAACCATGTCTTAAATGAAACCAGCCTCTTAATATTTACTTAGATTTTGTCTTGACCATTGTATTCCAAATGATCCACATAATCTAAACCAAATTTGTATGAACCCAGTCTCCACAACTTTTAACAAAGATGGAATCATTCGAAATGAACATCTTAAATCCACCCTAACTTTAATCAATAAATCAAGTTGATATGCATTAAGAGCCACACAAATGTCTTGGTGACTCGAGCCTAGACTGCAAACCCTTGAATTGATGAGAGGTGATCTCAAAAGTAATATCTTCCCTTGAAGAATCTTTGAAGATGATAAGACTTGAAATATCACAAGAACTTACTTAACATGACATTCAACTGAATCCTCAATTGAAGCGCGATAGCTGAGAAACTCTAACTTTGATCACACATAGGGAAATCAACCCTAATAACCTCGTAGCTTGGTGAAAGAGGAAGTGTTCAAAGACCATGAACGCATGACTCTAGCTTCAAACAATGATTGTTGAAGGTGAGAGCCTCAAAGGATAAAGAAAACCTACTTCCTTAATATCCTCCATCCCCTGCCAAATTATTGACCAATGTTGCATGACGTGCAAAATGACCTAACAGAGGTTATGTACGTGAGAAAAATGCGAGATGCATAAGTCGGATAAAAGTGAGAGGGTAGGAAAATTTTGGGGCATTACAACTGCCCCTATTTAATTGTCTTAAACCTGAAAGTATGATTGGTGCATACCTTTTAGAAGTTCAAGGTTGAATATGATTAAATACCAATGCCAAAAATTTGTATTAAGAGCGAGTGTAAGTGTTTTTATTTTTGTGATATCTACTGGGGGGAAAGAATTTTCTTATTTTCTAGGGAAGAGACAAAGATTGGAAGGTGACATGATGAGTCTTTAGAAATTGACATGACGAGTGTCAGAAGTTAACATGACGAGTGTTCAAAAGCTGACACGGCGAGTGTTTAGAAAGGTGACACGACGAGTGTTTAGAAAGGTGACATGACGAGTGTTTGGAGATTGACACGATGAGTGTTCAGAAGCTAACACGATGAATGTTTAGAAGTTGATGCGACGAGTGTTGGCAGATAGCAAGATGTCAACGCAAGGATAAAGAAGAATTATAACGTGGCGTGATGCCAATACAAGGAAGAGATTGAGCTTGTAATGTAGCGAGGTGCCAATACAAGGGAGAGATCAGACTTGTAACGTAGCATGATGCCAATACAAGGAAGAGATCACACTTGTAACATAGCGTGATGCCAATACAAGGAAGAGATCAAACTTGTAACGTAGCATGATACCAATACAAGGAAGAGATTGAACTTGTAACATAGCGTGATGCCAATACAAGGAAGAGATCGAACTTGTAACATAGCGTGATGCCAATACGAGGAAGAGATCGACCTTGTAACGTAGCGTGATGCCAATACAAGGAAGAGATCAAACTTGTAACATAGCGTGATGCCAATACAAGGAAGAGATCAAATTTGTAACGTAGCATGATACCAATACAAGGAAGAGATTGAACTTGTAATGTAGCATGATGCCAATACAAGGAAGAGATCGAACTTGTAACGTAGTGTGATGCCAATACAAGGAAGAAATCAGACTTGTAACATAGTGTGATGCCAATACAAGGAAAGAGATCGAACTTGTAACATAGCGTGATGTCAATACAAGGAAAAGATCGAACTTGTAACATAGCATGATGCCAATACAAGGAAATTATAACACAGACGAGTGTTTGAATCTATACGGACGAGTATCGAAGAAAGGCTAAACACGGACGAGTGTTTAAATCAATAAGAACGAATATCAGAAGAAGATACAAACGAGTATCAAGGAAAGGTTAAACACATACGAGTGTTTGAATCAATACAGACGAGTATCAAAAGAAGATACGAACGGGTATCAAGGAAGGGTTAACACGGAAGAGTGTTTGGATGACTGACACAGACAAGTGTTTATGAGTTGACACAGACGAGTGTTTGGGAAACTGACACAGACGAGTATTGGAAGACTGAATTATTTGTCAGATGGGGACTGGATACTAGACGAGAACTGGGTTTAGGATAACAAGGTGTATTGATTTTGCTGGGAATTGGGAGAGATGTCATCTTGTGGGGATGTATTATTGTTTTTGAATAATTCTGGTCTTTTGTGTAAGGTACCTGATCTGGCTTATGCTTTGTATGCATGTTTGAATTCTTTTGTCGCAAAGATCCATTCTGATGGATCGGCTATGCGCTTTTAAGGATGCAATGTTATGCAATGATAACTATATGTAATGCAAAGAAATAGACTTCATGAAGATAAGCGAAAGCTCATTGGGAACTACTGCTCATCACTGAGGATACCAATACATACTGGCGCTAGAAACCCGCATTACCAAAGATTGATGGGGATACTGGTAAGAATTTGCACTGGGGAGTTCATGATACCAAATATTATTGATGACCCGCTGGAGATTGACTTGTTGGCGAAGCGAGTCTTCAGGTACGCTACAGAATTCTGAATTGTATTATCGGGGAAGGGATAATCTGGCTCGACTTTCCTACATCCTAAACCGCTTGAAAGATGGTAGAAATGAATATGCTGAAGAATATATATTGAACACCATATGGATCTCTTCGAACACATGCCCCCAAGTTTACACACATTGGGGAATTATCTCTTGAATCACTTGGGGATAAGAGATGGGCATGGACACCTGCAAATTCCCCGGTTTAATTCCGCGAATGCTCCGGTTTACTCCACTGGGGATGAACTTCATTAACTCCACTGGGGATGCACTTGTGCGTGCCAAGTCAAATGGCGATTCCGAACTTTCTGAATTCACTTGGGGAATCAGGTTTGAAATTGTCTATAGCAGATGAAGGCAGATTTTGTATGCTGGCTAGGTCAGGGTGACCATTATGACGTTTTTAGCTTGATTATAGTCGTTTTGTACAACAGAATTGGCTTGAATAACTTCATGAGTACGAATACATAATGCCCCTGTCTGGAGGATTTTTGAAAGAATTTATGCTAAATAGAAGACTAGAATATTCGTGCCACAATACGATACGAGGTGGTCTGCCCTAATGTCTTGAGTCATGAAATAAACTTCTCTTGATTACAACTATCTTTGAGAGAGTTGTCGAATCTCGATGTAACTTCCCCAGATTGAATGAATTATGAATAGATTTATCGATATGATATCCCTTGATCGACGACAACTTGAAGAGATTTATCGACGTGATAACCTCTGATTGATATCAGCTTGAAGAGATTTATCGACGTGATAGCCTCTGATTGATAGCTTGAGGGAATGCCCCAGATTTGGATGACATTGGAGAGATCGACTCTCGACTTGATTACCCCAGATTGGCGGAATCTGCAAACTTCATCCCTACAGGGTACTCATACTGTGAAGCACCAAGATGTTTTCTCTAGACAAAACCACTAGTTAAAATGCCCCTGGATAAGTCATTTCTCTTGTGACAGCTGACTCTTGCTTCAACAGAGTATTCA